CGCTGACGTCACGCCGGGCGGGCGCCCGCGCCGCCCGGGCCCGGCGCCATGGCAACCGCTGGTCACGTGCCGACGCGCGTCACTGCCCGGAGTCATGGCAACGGTGACCTCACCCGCGAGCTCGACCTTCCCGCGTGGGCGCTGCTCCCCACCGGCTCCCGATGCCCCCGGTTCCCGCCGCGGCGGCGGTCCCGAGTCGGGGTGCTGCCAGCCGGACCCCAAAGCCGCGCCCCTGGACTCGCTGAAGTGACCCTGCCGTGGCCGCTCACCCCGTCAGCAGCCGCCCAGCCTCCCTGAAAACAAAATGTTTTGTCGCCAAAATGCAGCCTGGCCCCCGGAGCCCAGGCCCGAGGCGGGAGCGGCTGCGGCACGGAAGCACCTCCAGCCGAGCCGGTAGCGAGGCGGGGGCGGGGGCCTCCCGGGAAAGGCCTTCCTCTCGCAAAAGCCACGGCCTCATCGCCAGCGAACGGCATGGGAAACTAGGACTTGCGTGTTCGCGGGCGGGAAACCAGGCCACACACGCATTCCAGTTCCCGGGTGGGTGGGACCCGGGAAGGTACGTCACTTTCCCTCCTCCCACTCGCCTCTGGACTGCTAGAGCCACGACTGTCCTATTTCTGTCGCTTGTGTAACCTCATGCAGCGGTGCGCATCGTCCAGTGAGCCGCATCACAGTTAAAGGACGGTCTGTTAGGCAAAACAAATAATAAAATAAGAATTCCTAGGGACACGTATGTAATACCTTAATCAATAAAGAAAAAAAAGGAATTCCATCCTGACTAGCGACTCTCCAAGGACATTGACGATGCTCGGATTTCTTTTCTTCTCCTCAGCTCTCCAGCATTCCTCACCCTTTGGAGTCCCTCGCTAGCTCCCAAGTTTCCCCCACCTCTCCCTCCTCCCCCTCCCTTTATTAAGTAGATTAACTGCTTTAGTTGGAGGTGGAGAGGAGTAGGCAATTGGGCCATCAATAAGATGGGGGCAGGGGGAGGAGATGGTGAACTTTTCTATGTTAAAATGTATCCCTTCAGTCCAGTCCTGACCCATCCACACTTGTCTCTCAATGGCAAAACTGTATCATCAGATCACTGCATGTACAATATTAAAAACTGACACCGGAGCACTGTCAATGTGTGAGGAGAGGGCATGTCTGCTCCCTCTGACCAAAGGATATCTACTAGCATTCCAACTCCCCATCTGACTAGGAGTAACCGCTGGGACTAGAGTGGACAGAGAGGTCCTTCTGCAATTGTCTTGGATCAACCGCCTGGTGGCTGTTCCAAATTGCCAACACAATTAACACTAACTGGCTCCTTTACTAGCAAATAAGGGTAAGGATGGAGTAGACCTTGGCTTCTTGCATTGGTTAAATCCTTTCATTGGTTGAGAGCAATCAATCCAGATAAATGATGTGGCCCACTTCTCTTCCCACTTCATGGACCCGCTCCCCTGCCGTTAGCAGGGACTGTACATTAACTTTGCATCTGGGCCCCAAGGCCCGAGTATTACCATCTCCTTAAGGACAGAAGGGAAGGGGACGGGAATGAGGAGCTCGACAGAAACCTCAGCTGCTGGCAATGCAGGAAAAAGAACCTCGTTTCCTCCGGAGGCAGGAGCAGCACTGAAGCCCCCCTCACAGGCACCTTACAGGCTCCTCCGCTCCTGGACATCATTGGAACAGCGAGTGGGGCAACTTCTGCTGCTCCCTGGACGGCGTCAGAAACAAAGCTGCCGCTAGAGAGAAACCGGAAAATGGAGTGTTGGTCTAAGCTCCAAAGAGAAAAGACACGTCTCTAGTCCCTGACAATGGCCAGAGCGTGCCTGCATGGATGGAGGCCAGTAGATGGTGTGTCCTCTTGAGTCTTGGATAAAGATTTCCTGGAGATCTCTCTGACGCGTTCTCTTTGGTGAGAAGAATGTAGAAAATTGGAGGGGACCTTGATTAACCAGGGCCGTGGCGGGGAGGGGGGGCGGGGACAGTTTGGATGTATGTACTAGTATTTAATAAGGATGCATTGAGTACCACGGGCTCAGTTTGGGGGAGGAACTCAAAGTCAGTAATAACAATGTGCCAGGCGTTATGCTAAGCAGTTTACAGAAGTGAACTCACTCCCTCATCGACCCTAAAGACAGATGATATTGTTATCCCCATTTTGCGGATAAGGGAAAGGAGGCAGAGGGATTAAGATAATTGGGCCAATCATAGAGCTAGAAAGTGGTGGAACTAGGATGCAAACCAACCCAGGCCGCTCACTCACCTCTGGAGCCTGCACTCTCCCCGCCCTGGATGATAAACCTGTCAGAGTAGAAGCGAGTAGGAAAAGCTGTTTCTCAGAAGCCCAGGGCCATCGCGGTCAGTGAGACCCGGGGAAGAAGAGGACTTTGAGAGTCTTGGGATCAGACAAAGCAGGCGCCTATGCATAGAAATAAAGAACAGACCCCACAACTGACTGAAGCACCTGCACTTGGAAATAGTGCCATGAAGAGACCCGCTGCTTCTTGTGGAGCAGTGTTGCTGCCCTGAGAAAACATGCAGGCAGGTGTGCGCCTGCCCTGCCACAGACCCAGGAGACAGGCTCGAGGGCTGAGTTCTCCAAGGCCCTGCAGTCCAGGGTGCAGGCAGAGAGCCAGACACCACCCAGCTCCCAGTCAGCGCCATACCAACTCACTCTTTCTTTTTTCTTTCTTTTTTTAAGTTGTGTGGGTTTTTTTTGCTTGTTTGTTTGTTTATTTATTTATTTTATTCCAGAGAGAAAGGGAGAGGGAGAGAGAGAGAGAAACATCAATGATGAGAAAGAATCATTGAAAAGCTGGCTCCTGCATACCCCCTATTGGGGATCAAGCCTGCAACCCAGGCATGTGCCCTGACAGGGAATCGAACCCTGACCTCCTGGCAAGGAAAAAGAAAATCATTTCAAGACAAGCAAAAGATAGATTCAAAGTGAGACATTTTTCTTGTCATTGTGTCTTGTTTCTAGAATTTGGAACGGGCAAAGCAAGGCATTTTTGATGTATATGATAGGCCCGTGGTTCCCACTGTGGGGCACATGCCCCACAGGGGGGCAATTTGATGTTTAAGGGGGGCAATTTGAGTTATTAACAGTGAATTTTTGGCATTTCTTATGGTTCTAGCAGCCTCATATACAGTATATAAATATAAATTGTGACATATTTATGCATTTCAGTTCTCTATTATATGTTTTGAAACTTTATTTGCTATTTTTCATATCACTTCATATTACTATTTTATTAACATTTTCTTAGTGATTTCTTCCTCAGTACTTCAACTGTCCTTTCATTCTTTTATTTTTCTCTTTCATGAATGTCATGTTCTTTGGAAGCTTGTTTAGACCAAGTTAATGGCCTTTTAGGCTTCCTCCACGTGAATAGGAGTTCACTTTTTGAATAATAAGGATTCTATGTCAAAGGGAGCATCAAGATTTTAGAGATGCTTATGTGGGGCATGACCAAAAACAGGTTGGGAACCACTGTGATAGACCCTTAGAAACTTCTAGAAGTGATACAAAACCTCTGAGGACCTGAATCTGACCTGAGAGTGAGAGGAGTCGTGGGAGATAATGCATGGACTCTTAAATATTTTTAAAGGCCCCCATGGCCCATCTGCAGGGCCGTTCATCAGCAACCTGCAAGAAATAGATAGCCTCACGATCTAGCACCACAGATTCCCAGAACCATCAGGACGTGGAAGGCAGTCCAAGCCTCGCTTTGCATTGGCCCAACTCATTGCTGCTCTGAAAAAAAGCTAACATTATAGGAGCATCTGGTTGACACAGAAGCAGATTCAGAAACTCTATGCCAAAAGGCAACATCATAGAATGCTTACATCCACTTATTCCCAAACCAGGGAGTCACTGGGCAGCTGTAAATTCCACCACAGAGAAATCGGGGTGCTGCTGGATAGACGCTGCTCAACAAGCGTGTGCCCTATCCTCCAGGTGAGCAGAAAGTGCCTATCCTTAGTAGGGCTGCATTCTGCACTCCACCTCCACCGCGTGGCTGCTGCCCTTCCTCCTATCCCAACCAACCTCATCTTACCTATGCTTCCCGTGGGCACCCAGAAACAGGTCTGAGCAGCCAGAGTAACTACATAGTCTCCTGCTCTAACACATATTGAGGAGGGGCTAAATAAGCTTTCAGTCCAAGATTTTCTGTTCAGCTTGCCCACATTTTTCTTTTTTCTTTTTTTTCTTTTTTTAACAAAAACAATTCAACCTCATTTATTGTCATCTGGTAGTAACTTAAGGGTATTGTAAGCCAATATGAATAAATGGGTAAGAAATATTCTCCCAACAAAGGACACAAAAAACACAAACTGTATTGCTTCTCAGTAATTCCTCACTTCATTAAGTCATTTCTAGGTGGAGACACTTTGGAGCAGAGTAATATTATCTCCTTTCAGCATGATCCGGCCTAGTTGTTTTCTTGACTTTGTTTTCGAATGAATCTCTTCTGCATCATCTAATACGAGGTTCATATACTCATCAAAACCAATGATACAGCCTTCTATCCGCATATTCACTTGCTCATAAAGCCACACCTGAATCCGAGATCTATTTTGCAAGTATCTGAAGATGAGGTTGATGGGCTGCACCATCACCTTCTGCACCTTTTGGCCCTGGCCACGGTACACCATGGTGGAAGCTGACAAAGACCACACTAAGCCGCACGCTCCCTCGGAGCCACTTCTGGAATAAAGAACCCCACATTTTTCTTTTTAATGGAACTATTCAAGCTATTACACAAAACAAAAATTACCCTTACTGCTTTGCATATGTTCTAGAATATCATTACCCTTGAAATCATCTAAAACATATTTTTTAAAATATGTTTTATTGATTTCAGAAAGGAAAGAAAGGGAGAGAGAGAGAGAGAGAGAGAGAGGCATCAATGATGAGAGAGAATCATTGATAGGCTGCCTCCTGCACACCCCCTACTGAGGATCGAGCCCACAATCCAAGCCTGTGTCCTGACTGTGACCTTCTGGTTCATAGGTCGATGCTCAAACACTGAGCCACACTGGCCAGGCTAAAACATCTTTAAGTGTGTTTTTCTTAAAGATTTTCTGCATTCTTAGATGTGATTATATTATTATTTAGAATCAATGTTTTCCTCAGCAAATACACCTTTGGTTTTATAAGGAAAATCAGTGGGAAAAACATTTAGTAGAGAAAAGAAGTTCATCCAGGAAAACTTTTTTCACAAAAGTATATGCTCCTAAGGTGAGGTACACTTAGCTACCCTGTGATCAACTCCCTAATATTTACACTAATAAAAATTTTTTCTGATAATCTGCCTCTTTCTCCTAAATGAAAAGTCTGGTACTCAAAAAATATTAATTAGTATTTTGGCATATTTGGATCCTTTTATTTTGCTTGAATATACAAGTACTAGAGACCCGGTACATGAAATTCGTGCACGGGGGGCGGGGGGCCTCAGCCCAGCCTGCACCCTCTCTAATCCGGGACCCCTTGGGGGATGTCCGACTGCCAGTTTAGGCCTGATCCCAGATATCGGGCCTAAACCGGCAGTCAGACATCCCTCTCACAATCCTGGACCGCTGGCTCCTAATCACTCACCTACCTGCCTGCCTGGTTGCCCCTAACTGCCCCTCCTGCTGGCCTGGTTGCCCCCGCCGGCCTGGTCGCCCCAACTGCCCTCCCCACCGGCCTGGTCACCCCATGCAGTCTGCTGTTCAGTCGTTTGGTCTTCCCTCACTAACCCCCCTGCTGGCCTGGTTGTAGGCAGCCATCTTGTGAGGGTGTGAGGGTTAATTTGCATATTACCTATTTATTATATAGGATAGTCCTAGCTGGTTTGGCTCAGTGGATAGAACGTCAACCTGTGAACTGAAGGGTCACAGGTTCGATTCTGGTCAAGGGCACATGCCTGGGTTGCAGGCTCGATCCCTAGCAGAGGGCGTGCAGGAGACAGCCAATCAATAATTCTCATCATTGATGTTTCTATCTCTCCCTCTCCCTTCCTCTCTGAAATCAATAAAAATGTATTATATATATATACATAAAATATATATACACACACACACACACAAGTATATACAATTCTAGAATTCCTAACACTCCATAAAAAATAAAGGCCCACTTCCAAGGTCTACCTGAAATTGAAGTTCTTCAGTTCCCTGTTTCAAAACCTACAGCCCTCATCCTTCCTCCTCCCCTGGTTCTCACACCTCTCCTGACTGGAGGCCACCCTCCGCCACACCCCACACCTGCCGGTGCTGCCTCGCAGCTTGAGGTGCTCACCTTCAAACACCTTGTAGGCTTTGGAAGGCAGGGGGGGACTGCTGCACAGGGGCTCCTGCAGTCCGACTGGGGACTGCGGAGGTTTCCTGGCAGCTTTTCCAGCTGTTGGCTAAGAAAAAGTTATACTATTGAGATTGATTTCTGTTGGTAGCTGACCTACCTTTGCTTGTTTCATCTCCACCACAATTTTCTTCAGTTAAACTAGAAAATTCATCTTCCACCTCGAGGGCCAAAAAGAACCTTTTCCCTTGTCTGCAGAGACGCCTGCTGGTCAAAGGTTTTAACTACATGCTACTTGGCCGTACTCCTTTTTCCATTCTGCTAAAACCTTCCAGTCCTTTCTATTTCAAGTGCAGGCAGTTGAAAACCACAAACCCACATCAGGAGCCAGAAAGCTGGAATCCAAATGGAACCTGGTTCCAGGAAGCTGGATTTCTTTGTGGCAAAAAAAAAAAAAAAGTACACTGGGCTAAAATTATGGTGGCGCTTTGGGCTTAGGTTAACAGTCTCCACTGCCGTTTTGTGCCACCCAAGGATATCTTCAGCTATCCCCATAGTTCTTGTGACATTTTAAAAAGATTCATTTCCACGTATTTTTATTTACTTATTATTTTTTAAAATATATTTTATTGATCTTTACAGAGAGGAAGGGAGAGGGATAGAGAATCAGAAACATCGATGAGAGAGAACCATTGATCAGCTGCCTCCCGAACACCCACCACTGGGGATGTGCCCGCAACCAAGGTACATGCCCTTGACCGGAACCGAACCCGGGACCCTTTAGTCCGCAGGCCAACGCTCTATCCACTGAGCCAAACCGGTTAGGGCTATTTTTAAAATGAGTTCATTCTTTTGGCACGTTTAAATAGCAGCCTGGCATTATGAGTAAAAAGAGCAAGAGTTTTATTTACCATTGGACTTGTCCACTTACAATTTCATCTCTGAGCCTCCGTTTTCTGTTCTGGAAAAATCACTCATACCTCATGGGGTTGCGAGGAGAAAAAAACTGTCACAAGTATGTAGAGGGACCTCGATTACAGTCTAGTACAGAGTATGTACCGAATATTAACTTCCTCCTTCTAAAGGGCAAAAGCATATAAATAATACCATGCTGCTTTCCAGATAATTTCCAAAAAGGTTAGGAGTGAGTGAGAAAGGAACTAGGGCTGTGAAAATGGATTAGCTTCAGAGTTAAAGCGAGAACTTTAGTTTTGAATGTTTTGGTTTGATTTACTAAATATGTATAGTTCAATCTTTGGAAGTTGGACATTTTTATGATGCAACTATACATGTCCAATGAAAACATTCTCACTCTCACAATGTTATAAAGTACTTATTATTCCCACTTTGTAAAAGGTCAAATTACTATTGGCTCACACGGCCAGTAAGTGGTGAATTTGGGAAGCAAATCAAGGCCTTTCAGTCTCCAAAATCAGTTGTCATTCCAAACTTTAGTCTATACCAATGCTGTGGTCTGCTAAAACAAACAAACAAAAACCTGCTATAGCCGGCTGGCTCGGTGGATAGAGCGTTGGCCTATAGACGGAAGGGTCCTAGGTTCGATGCCAGTCAATGGCGCCCTGGTTGGGGCACATGCGGGAGGCAACCAATTAATGTGTCTCTCTCATATCAATGTTTCTCTCTCTATCTCTCCCTCTAAAAATCAATGGAAAAAATATCCTCAGGTGAGGATTAAGCTTTAAAAAAAACAGTGATTTTTTTTCTTCTAAAATATATTTAAAGTATACATGTAAGAAAAATGCTAAAATATTTATATCATTTTTATGCAACAATCTGCTTAAAGAATGTGTGCATGCAGAATGCAGGTGCCCTGTGAGAAGAGTAGAGGAGCTCAATGAGAAGGGTCAATCCCAGTACCTTTTTTTTCTCTAAAACTCATTCAGAATAATATATGTAAAAAATTACTAATTATATTTATACTACTGTTTTTATTTTATGCAATAATCTGCTTTTAAGAAACTATACATCCAATATGATCTTTAACTGTATTTTTCTTTTAAAATAGTTGTTGATTCTTTTTTTTTACATATTTTTATTGATTTCAGAGAAGAAGGAAGAGAGAGAGAGAAACATCATTGATGTGAGTGAATCATTGATTGGCCTCCTACACAACCCCTACGGGAGATCAAGCCCACAAACCCAGGTATATGGCCTGACCGGGAATTGAACTGTGACCTCCTGGTTCATAGGTCAATGCTCAACCACTGAGCCACACGAGCTGAGCCCAAGTAATTCTGATGCACGCTCAAGTTTGAGAACCACTGCTAGCAGCCTGATACAAGTGACCAGATCATCTTCTGACCCTACCTCATCCTACATCCAGGTCAGACTGCTGTGAAAGCATTTGGGACCCTCATTGTGTTCCTTTGTTGAATTATCTATCCCCCTAGTCTAATGAGACTTTGTAAGAAATGTGTTTTATTCCTGGGTCCCCAGGGTCAAGAATGGTGCCTGCTTACCACAAATCTTAGTACATGCTTGTTAAATAAATAAACCAAAAAATGACTTTGAGTTCTTCACTATTATTTTCATACTAGAGGCCCAGTGCACGAAATTCGTGCACTGGGGGTGGGGGAAATCCCTCAGCCCGGCCTGTGCCCTCTCACAGTCTGGGACCCTTGCTCCTTACAGCCCACCTGCTTGCTGCTCCCTACCACTCGGCTCGCTGCTTCTCAGTGCTGCCACGGAGGTTCCTGCCACCTCCGCTGCACTCACCAGCCATGAGCCCGGCTTCTGGATGAGCAGCACCCCCCCTGAGGGAACTCATTGTAGCTCCAGGCCCTGGTTGGTGTGGATCAGTAGTTAGAGTGTCCTCCCACGCATCAAAGGGTCATGAGTTCGATTCCAGGTGAGGGCACATACACAGGTTGTGGGTTGCTTGAGCAACTGATCAATGTTTCTCTTTCTCTTTCCCTCTCCCTTCCTCTCTCTCTAGAATCAATGAAAAGAACATATCCTTAGAGGAGGACTTAAAAAGAAAAAAAAATGCTGGTTTTGTTCAGTGGATAGTGCTTCTGCAGGCAGACTGAAGGGTACCAGGTTGGATTCCAATTGAAGACATATACCTGGGTTGCCGGCTTAATCCAGGGCCCTGGTTGGGGATTCAGCAAGAGATAACCATTTGATGTCTCTCATATTAGTTTCTGTCTTTCTCCCTCCCTCCCACTCTCTGTAAAAAAATAAATAAATAAACAAAAAAAAATCAATGCAAAAATGTCCTCAGGTGAGGATTAACCAAAACAAACAAACAAACACCCATTCCCAGTGTGATTATTGAAGGAGCATATGAAGTATTTGTTGAATGAACGGGAAGGGATGAGACTTTGCTTTCTAACTGTTTTAGCAACTCTGCAAGCCAGAGGGTTTATTTTTATTTTTAAAAAAATATATTTTATTGATTTTTACAGAGAGGAAGGTAGAGGGATGGAGAGTGA